AAAAGAATAAGTGTTTGGGCAGGTATTTTGGGAAACCACATAGTTGGGCCTGTTTTTCTCAATACTAACTTAACCGGTGAAGTGTATCTGGAGCTGTTACAAAATGCAATTGAACCATTAATACTTGAAATTCTGGAGGATAATCCAGATGAATTCGGCAACTTGGAAATAACGTTTCAACAAGATGGTGCTCCTGCACACCATTATGGTGCAGTAAGACGTTACCTCTTCTTCTTCTTTTGCCCTTTAATTCGTCCAATTTTGAACATAGGCTTCCCCCAGTTTCCTCCATTCGCTTCTGTTTTGTGCTTTCTGTTTCCAGTGTATTCCTCCTATCTTTCTAATGTCATCTCCCCATCTCATCTGGGGTCGTCCTCTTGCTCTCTTTCCTGTCCATGGTCTCCATTGTTGTATCGTGTTGTTCCACCTATTGTCTGTTTGTCTGGCGTTATGACCTGCGAAACTCCATTTTAGCCTGGCTATATGTTGACCTGCGTCTTTGACTTTTGTTTTGTTTCTTATCCAGATGTTTTGCTTCTTGTCTTTTAATTTTACTCCCAACATTGCTCTCTCCATGGCTCTTTGTGTCTTCACTATCTTATCCATGTTTGCTTTGGTCAGAGTCCATGTTTGGCATGCGTATGTGAGAATTGGGAGTATGCACTGGTCAAACACTCTTGTTTTTAAGTACTGTTGTATTTTCTTATTCTTTAGGACCCATTTTAATTTCCCAAATCCTGCCCAGGCTAATCTGACTCTTCTTTTTACCTCCGCTGTTTGGTTTTCCTTATTTATTTTTATTATCTGTCCCAAATATATATAATCATTAACCGCTTCTATTGTGATTCCATTTAGTATTACGTTTCTATTATCTTGTGTGTTTGTCATTGTTTTCGTTTTGGTAAAATTCATTTTTAGGCCTATTTGTTCAGATTCCTTGGCTAGTTCGGTTAGCATAGTTTGTAGTTCTTCAAAACTTGATGTTATTATTACTACATCGTCTGCATATCTTAGATGGTTTAGTTTCTTTCCATTTATGTTTATTCCCATGTTTGTCCATTCCATTGTTTTGAAAACATCTTCCAGTGCTAATGTAAATAATTTAGGAGAAATAACATCGCCCTGTCGCACTCCTCTGTTAATTGGTATAGGTTTTGTGTTTTCTTCCAATTGTACTGTCATTGTTGCTTTCTTATATATATTGTGTATTAGCATTCTGTATCTGGAATCTATTCTTCAGACGTTACCTAGATGAGGAATATCGTGGTAGATGGATTGGACGACGAGGTACGATAGAATGGCCAGCTCGGGCACCGAACCTCACACATTGAACGAGTACGGCAAGAGTTTAGAAATAGGATGAATTACTGTCAGGAAGTAGATGGAGCACATTTTAAACACTTACTATAAGAACTGGTTGTTAAATATGTATCAATTAAATGAAAAGCTACAATTTTAGTATTTATTTAATTTATTTATCAAAATGAGCTTAAACTCAAACAAAATTATTATGACTGAATAGGTTTTTTCAATACCTTTCAAACGAGGTATCACTTGCCATTAGGTTCCATATAAAATGATCTGTCACAGTGGCGCTGTAACGTCATCTGTCACTATTACGTCACCTGTTATGACTAGTTAAGAAACCTACGTCTGTTTATTACCTCCCTCCAAATTTCACCATTATAACAATAACCGTTCAAAAGATACGAGGGGGGAACGGACTTTTGACTAGCACTGAAGGATTTTTTAGTCACGTGCTGACACAGGTAGAATATAGGAGTCGACTTTTGTTTACAATGTTACCCGACTGGATTAAATTATAGTTGTTAAGTTATTATATAACGAACAACAACATACAATATATTTTTTTTTAAATACATGAAAAATCGGTTGGGTTAGCGTAGAGGGAGCCACAGTGGAACATCACAGTAGGATAAAATACCCGAGATATTTTGCAGTGGACAGTTAATAAAAAAGGACAACTGTGATACATATAGTGAATATTAGGTAGATAAAAAATAAGTATAATCCGACTAACGAGAATGACAATGTCTAACTTAGAAGCCACTGTTAGAATACAGGGAGAGAATTCTAGATCCTTTGAGATAAAGGATGGACTCAGACAAGGGGATGCTCTGGCTTGCCTCCTATTTAATATTGCCTTAGAAAAGGTAGTCCGAGATACACGAATTAGGGATGGCGGTACTATTTACAATAGATCGGTACAAGTCTTAGCATATGCTGATGATATTGACATAGTATGGCATAGTAAGCGAGATGTTGAGCAATATCTCCTAGAATTGGAAACAGCGGCGAAACAGGTCAGTCTAGTCATCAATAAAGACAAAACAAAACGAGTCAAGTACATGTTGGTTACAAAGGATCCGATAGCAAATGAGGAACAGGAAACAGTCTTTGGGAGTCATACCTTTGGACGTGTTGACAACTTCACATACCTTGGGTCGCTATTGACTGCTACCAATAAAACAAGCGAAGAAATCGAAAGACGAATAAATCTTACAAATAGGGCATACTATGGACTCTAAAAGCATTTCCACTCAAGAAACATTCAAAGAAGAACTAAAATTATTATATACAAAACATCGCTGAGGCCGGTCCTCACATATGGAGCAGAAACATGGACTCTAACGCAGAACCTCTAACTTTTGGGAATATTTGAGCGTAAGATATAATTTTGAATTGTATCAGCTCTTTGATGAGCCAAATGTCATAACGTTTATTAAAACACAGCGACTTAGATGGGCTGGACACATAATACGAATGCCAGAAAATACGATTGCTAAAAAGCTAACCACAGAAACACCTGTAGGAAGAATAAGCAAAGGCCGACCGCGAATTAGGTGGTTAGCTGGAATTGAAACCGACTTACGAATATTAAAAATCAGAAGATGGCAACATGTTGCCAGAAACCGAACAGAATGGCGACGAATCTTAGAGCAGGCCAATATCCACAGAGGATTGTCGAGCCAAAGATGATGATGAAGAAATAAGTATTCATGTACTCTGTAGTAATGAAAATAAATAGAAAAATAAAACCAAACAATATTTTATGGGAAATTCTTGGACAGGATGCTTTAGAGAGGATTAGTATTAGCACGAGTAAAGATAGAAACTAATTGAAAAATATAATTAGAGAAGCCAATAATCATGGCCCAGTTATTGCTTTTATTGTCTATTAAGTCACTCAAATATACGTTCTTCTTCTGCTTCTTTTTCGAAGAACTATCGGATGACCTCGCAAAAGATGGATTAGCAACCTTTCACAGAGGTATCAATCCGCCGATGAGCAGGCAATTACTTATAAAGAAGAAGAAGAAGATGAAAATAGACGTTATTTATTCTGGTCTTACCTGGATTTGCTCCGTCTCTGAACACTTTTGGTTGGTTCTTATATTGAGTAAAGTAGTAAATGTGTGCCATTTCATGATGAGCTGTTATTAGATCTTTCATGTTAACGTTTGTGCACATTTTGATCCTAAAACCATCGTATTTATGAGTATTTTCTTAAATAAACTAAAATAGTATCAAAAATTATACTTTAGCTGAAAATTTAAGGTCCTGCACAAAATGGATAAAAGTAAAACTTTTAAAGATAGTAACAGAGTAGGATCGTGTGTTAAAACGGCTCCTTGTATGTATAAGATATAGAAATGTAAATAACTAAAAATCCTGTGATTCGTTAATAAGTTTGAATTTTTTATTTTGACCATATACCGTGTATCCCTAGTTGGTTAGAGGCTCTACTACTAATAATCGCGATTCCATTATGCGTGTATGATAGCATCTTGATAGCATTGAAGACTATACAAATACTACAAAGCAAACAGTAGGGAGGTGAAGAAAACACAAAATATGTTGTGTCGTAATAATTGACTCTTTCGAAATCGTCATATCGACACGAAGTCACGTCGTCAGTGTGATAGATAAATTTAAGTCAGTCTTCTATCCTTGAGAGCCTACAGGAGAATAAAAGGCACTCGACTTCACGCCCCTCATATAAACTTGGACTTTTATAGACCAAAACTTGATGAATTTTGCATCGTGGCTTGGACCTGCATCCATACAAAATTTAACTAAATAGGAGTTGGAGGTAAACAACGATAGCCAACCACGTGAATTCGTTGAATAGGCTCTGGGGCAGTTGTAAACTGCCCCTAATTTTTATTAAAAAAATCGTCTTTATCGATGAGGCCAATTTTTGTACAAATGGAGCATCTCGAAAATGCTGAGCGCTATAGGTTGACGATTACCAAATTGGTTTGACCTGAATTTAACGATACGTAGTTTTAACAGGACGATGATATGTGCTACAGAGCTCATAATATATTGAACATTCTGCACGCGACCTTTGACTACATGGTTATCTCACATGGAGAAATGTAAATTGGCCACCAAGATCGTGCGATTTAACCCTATTAGACACTTGTTAACGGAGTTTCAAGTCACAGGTGTATACAAATACGGCCTTACAGGCTATCAAAACCAACATAACCCATAACATCGATCAAATTTAATCTGATTTATGCGCCCCAGAGTTACGGAAATTTAAACATTTCGGATGCACGCCAACCAGCGAGGTTGCAACGGAGATTTGATCGATGTTCCATACATAATGGCATCGAGGGGCCTTTCAAATAAATACAATATTTTAATTATATATTACACACGCTTTCTTTATTTAAATTTAAAGATAGGAGGTGCTTTAAGAGGGCTTTTAAAGGAGCAGGTTATAATATTAATGATAACTGGCCATTCACAAAACTCTATATATGTTTTCTCTCCTGCATTGTCCCCTAAAACGTTTTATCTAACAGAATATCTTGTCTTTCATTCAGTTGGTATTTTATACAAACACTTCTTTACAGCCATCATTGAAGACCAAGTTCTTGAAATGTTCCATTTATATTTTAAGGATTTTCTCCATAACCTCAACCATATTATCTATTTTTTTAAATAATTTAAACTGCTATATTTACCTAAAGTCTCTACGATTGCAGAAATCCCAGGCAGAAGGTTGACAAAGAACTATCCTGTCCAGTGGTTCTTGAAGTACTGATCCCTGCCAAAATTCTAGAGGAAGAACACTCATATTCAGCGACACAAAAAAGTCTTCTGCCAACCTGAACAAATCTGGTGGAGTATAACCCTAAAAAAAAAAATTTATTATTTGAGAAAAAAAAAGTAGAAAGTCAAACGAAGGTATGTAATAAGAAAATGCATGATCATATTGATAGTACAGACAAAAGATGAAGGTGAATGTAAGGAAAAATTAAAAAGCAAAAGGTGATAAAGAATAAAACAAAGGTAAGGAAATATTTATACAAACCTGTTTGATCATTTCTGGAGTAACATCTAAGAAGCTTTGTCCAGGATACGGTTGAGTGATATCTAATATATTGGTCCATGACTGACCCCACATGTTTCCTAAAATATGGGCAGGTAAAGGTGCCTGTCTATTGATCTTCTCAGGTCCATAATATTCTCTTAACTTGCGTCGCACGTAAGTCAAAAGCAGTTCATATAGGGGCTTTACTTCTTCCCAGGCATCTTCAAGATCTAACATCAAGGATGGGGATTCAAATGGGAAGCTCCAGTAATCGGCAGTGTCAGTAAAATCTACAAAATAAAAAAGTTAGAAAAAAAAAGAACAATCAGCATGTAGATTAAGCCGATGGGAGATTTTTAATGAGTCATTCGATCCGGCATGAATCGCGTATAAAACAATACTACAATATTAATAACAACTTTAGATACTATGCCGTTAATTCTTATTGGTACAGGTGGGGTTATTTTTGAAAGCATGAGATGAGCTAGCTAGTGTAGTTTTCATTTACACATTTAGATTTGTGGATATTGTAAAATAATAAATAAATAACAAAAAAAACACAATATTTTTTATAAATTTAATTTTGTAAAAAGTAATAAATCTTACATCACTTTTTGAATCCACCCTGTAGTTATCCGCGCATCAATTACTTTATTTAGATACATCTGTTGTTTTATCGCCATGGGAAGATCTGCTATTTTCTTGTGAAAACGAACGCTAGATTTTATTTTCAACAGCGGACAAATATTAGAAATGTGAGAAGTGAATAATGATGACAGCAATATAATTTCGTTTGTATTAAAAATAACAATACTTATATAAGTAAGTCTAGTCTATAGTCTGTGTCTGTATATATTTTTATGTTTATTAAATTTATAATATTTATTCTTCAACTTAGCTGATCTCCAGTATGATAGAGAAAGAAGAAGGCAAAAGAAAGTGTCTGGTAAGGTCATAGAAGTGTGTGTTGATGTCAATAAGGCAATATTAAAAATGTGTACTGCGAAAGTAGCGCTTCTAATCTGGTTCTTTTGGCTAAGGCTAAAATATAGTTATAGCACGCTTTTACAGATATGTACTTGATTCTCTAGGTTAGGGTTTTAACTAGACATTGCAATTGCTAGACCCAGCATCCAGCAATCCAGCTAGATTCAGCTTTTTTACATACTGGACCCAGCAACCCGAATCCGCAAACGTGTCAATTCGAAATAAGTTACTTAGTGTCTTCATTATCCTCTTTATTCAAAGCCGTCAGTCTGCAACTTGCCATTCTATAGCATTGGCATGTAGTACGTGCCACAAGTGCCATCGAACTGCAACGTCGCGTCACCATCACCGTTCGATCAACGGTGGTCGATTGTTTGGTTATTCGGTGGTCGTCGCCAGTAAGTGGCAGAATGGTTGACAATATTTGGTTTAATGATTGAATCCAACACCATTGGTATCATAACCGACGGCCCAGCCAATATGGTGAAATTTGGCAAGCTGATGTCTTGCCATTAACAACTGTGCTATGCATATCGAATTCAGTTGGCTGTAGTAGAGGTGCTGTAAAAAGAAACCTCAAAGAGAAGTTAAACAAGCAGCAATAGATAACACTGATGAATTTAAACGCGAAAATAAAGATGTAGAGACAAAGATAAATGAAGGATTGGAAGTAACAATCGAACCAACATCGGCGATCCTTATTGAATTGATTCCTCGTTACGAAAAATTACCGACTAAAGATGACATTTTCTTGCAAAATATGTCAAAGAAGAGAAAGTCAAGGAATTAAGTTTGATTCCTTACTGCCGCACCAGGTAGAACAGTTTGTTCAGTATGCTGGAACGTTTCTACAGCCCAAAACTTCGCATCGATAAAGCGTTGATAGACATTGATTCTGCGATAAAATTCTCTACTGCAGAATGCTCAATAATCAACGAGTCAATTGCCACTCTTTAACCGCTGAAACTGGCTGTAGAAGCTCTTTGAGTCCACTTTAATAACCACCAACATAATCATGAAATTTGTCTTATATAAACTAAATAGTCAGCACTCTAGCCTTATTTACGAGCTATCAGAAGCACTACGCAACAGAATCGCAGAACAGCACCTTTCTGAAATTACATGTATGTATGACGAAGGACTAAACAATCCTGGTTATTTTCCCATGTTGAAAAAGAATGCAATGAGGCAAGAGATAAAAAATTTGTTGAGTAGTATAAATACACAAGTGATTGTGGAACAAGTGCAAGAGGACATAATGGAAGCAGAAGATGAACCAGCTAATCTGGAAACCCGTGAATTTTACTTTAGAACAAGAACTTGGGATTCAACTGAAACGAAAGAGGGAAAACTCTTATAAACAAAAAAACTTGTTCCTAAAAAGATAATGAATTGATTTTGAAAAAGAAAATGACCGTTTATGAGACTTAAAGACTTGAAGGAGTGAAAGGTGATCATTTGTCCATAGCTTATGACTATTTGATGAACTTAAAACCAACCAGCGTAGAGGCCGAAAGGGCTTTCATCGCAACCGTCTATATGTGCAGCTCTGTGCAAAATAGGTAAGGCGATAAGACGATAGATAAAATATGTTTTTAAGGCCTCACTTCCAAAAAACTAAATAATTTATTTTTCTGCTGTTTAGAAATTTAGATACTGATTTGTTTTTATTATGAGATCAAAAAAACTTATCCTCAGTAAACCATAAAAGAAAAAATATTACATAATTGTGTCAGCTCAAAATTACCATTAATGAAATTTATTTCAAATGAACTACTTTTACAACAGATAGTTTATTTAGATAAAATTTCATTCGTGGTAATTTTCAGCTGACACAAGCAAAGCCCTATGTTCCACTTCCAGTTTTTTCCAGAGTTTTTTTTAATTCATGATAATTGTGGCATTTGTCTAGCCATTTTAAGTTAAAGAGAGGTAACTGATTATACGTCCTTGTGTGATTAATATACACCTAAGATCATTTTTATTTTAAGTTTTTATTTTATTAATTTGCTGCTTCCAGCTGGAATCAAGCCAATCGTGCAAAAATCCAGCTGCATTGAAAATGCTGTTGGATTACGATCCCTAGTTGAAGCATTGGTCATGTTTCTCATCATCCATAAAATATTATAATTGTACAAAAAATTGACGAAGTTAAACCCACAACTGACACGGCAACAAAAAATTATATGAATTTTTTTTATTGAATTTGAATTTTGTAACACTAGGCCAATTTTTTTGTAATTGAAGTTTGAAGAAGACAACCGCTAAGAATGAGACTACTGTAGAGATTATGAATGAGTAACAATATGAGAAGATTTATAAAGAACTGCAACTAACAAACAAGATGATTGAATAAATACAATGTTATGTATATATTTTGTAAACTTACTATTTGCTCTGGCAGCATTATTGGATACCTTTACCATCTGCTCGTACGCGTCTTTCATCTTCTGCCCGGAGTTTCTCCTCCATTCAGTCCAAACGTACTGTAGCTCGTCCCAATTTCTGCTCTTGGCCATGATTTTGGAGAGATCTGGTTGTAGCCTTAGTCCGCAATGCAGAGGATCATTAAAGGCACATATAGAGCCAGTATTGTACAGGACTAGCATGTCGTTAATCAGTCGATTGTACTAAAATAAAAACACAATTAAATTTATAATAAAAACAATTTTTTATCAACAGTTTTTAGATTATTTTGTAAAGTCTATGATCATGATTTGACCAACAAAAGTCTAAAGAGGGTTCAAACTGTATTTTTTATGCTTTAAAAGTTTCTGCACTTCAAAATTTTCTTCTACACATCCTGATATCTGTTTCCAGATTTAGACTTTTCTTTCTGCTTCACTCATCACTCAGTCATTCATAACTCGCTCAATTTTTTTTTCCAGTAGATTGATTAACACATTGGTTTTAACTTCGAGAAATTCAATAACTTTTAGTCACCAACAAATATGATATTGTGGCATACTTTAAAGATAGGTATAAACTTAAACAATACACATTTTTAATCAAAATCTACTTACCCTATCTAATTCTTCTGGAGGCAGTGCGGAAGGCCCTATCACGGAGTAATACCTAATTTGTCTGAATGTTTGAGGATCCAAGCTATTTATATTTCCAACCTTACTGAGTAGTTCCCAGACTCCGTGCTGGAATTCCGAGTAAAATTGTTGGGCATTTATCTACAATATAAAGAGAAATATTTAGACGCTTTAAATACAATTTTTTTATATTTATTATCCAGTTCTTCTGATTTTTCGACAATAGTTCCTACATGTATTGATATGATTATGCAAGCTCACCAATTTGGATTCAAAAACAATACAGCTATTGATTAGGTATATAGGCTAGTAATGCCTAGCCTATGGAGAATTTGTAAAATGACAATAATTCTCAAACCAAATCGTAATACTTTTTGTTTGTCTAAGTAATTTGAAAAATTATTTGTAAAAAGCCTTAGCTTGTTAAAGATATAAAAAATATTATTACAATACATAATTCATAATACAATCTAATTAGTATTAGAGAAAAACTTTGCAAAAAAAGGTATGTTAAACAATATTTCTCGATGTTTTTTAGGCCTTTGATAACAGTTTGGTATATTGCATGAATATATATGTTAATATCCTATTTTCCTAAGCAATATACCCACCAATATGTCTCAATTACTTTTATAAACGATTAGAGATAACGGATTAAATCAATAAATTGCGAATAAGCTAATCTGATAAATGTATCCAAATAAACTTGTAGCATTTTTAAATTCTTTGGTATATATTGACATCCATTCGTATATGTTAAAACAGCGAAATATAATTTCAATCCTTTTTGCGTCGACGAGTTGATGTAAACACATTTTAAAAGTTTGTTTATACATCACAGATGTGTATTTCCTCGGTATTATTTTCAGAAAAGTCGCTTTTAAGATATTTTGCACGTCAAGTGGACAGAATATTCTCGTTTGTGTTTTATCTATTTAAACTGAGTTATGGGAATGATTTTTGAAGATAATTACATCACTCTCGCTGAGGCCGCTGTCAGGGACAGTTGGTTACAATGTTAGTCCAAATTTTTCTTCAAATTTATAATGCTTTGTGTTTTTTTATCATTCATCATGAGAAAATGTGTACTGTAGTAGCAGTTTTAAGTTTTATGTGTAGTTAGAATGGAGGTTGGGAAGAATCTTTGAACAGTCAGCGAACACTTATAGTTAGCTATAAGTGTCGGCGCCAAAAACAACAAATTTTTTTAAAAATAGTGAATTATACTCAATGTAATGAGTCAATTTTGAACAAGTTATCACTGTGTTTTATTTTCCAAGCCGTCTCTCATCTGAGATATTTGTAAAACGGCGTTTACAACAACTTTGAAGGATAAGCACATGTTTCCATTTTGCCCAGCAGCTTCCATCCTCGTTTTGTTTGTCCCTGGTTCTCATTCCAGGCTTTTTTGTAGTTTGGAGATACTTTTTCTCGCAGGTAACTTTTGTGTTTGATTTTTAAAGAAAAAAATAAACATTTTCTAATAACAATTGCTTTCATAACAATTTAAAAAATTGTAATACTTAAAATTGTAGATCTTAGGGTATGGTTTAGCTGTCATTTTAATTGTTCTCAGTTTTAAGATTTAGTATTGACATATGACAGTTAGCACTATTTTTTACATTTGGTAAATACCTAATCATATTTGAGATTTTGGTTTTGTTTTTTAAAAAAGGTAAACCTCTATGCATAATTTCATTTAAAAAGATATTTTTTTTATTTGTAATAATTTATTTCTGCTACAAATTGTCGCCGATTAACACTTGTAAGTATTGTATTATCCCCAACTTTTCGAGTTTGTAAACTGATAGAATATAGTAAGTGTTTTCTTTGTTATTTTGGTATTTATCTTTGTAATTACTTATATAGTATTTTTTGTATTACCATTTACATTTGTAACTGTTTGTGGTGAGATAACAATAAATGTATAATTTTTTCCCTAAACCAATTTGTTTATTTCTTTCGTTAAAAAACTTTATATCCCCTATTGTGTTTTTTTGAAAGAAAGAGCTTTTTCTTACATCCAGCAGGAAGATTCCTCAAAGCAGCGTTTATTTTAAATATCTTGAGGACTTTCTTGTGTTTTGTTTGTTTCAGGAAATTCATGTAAGTAGCCCTATGTTTCATTTTTGTAGTTTCCACATTTCAGTCCCCTTGTCATTCACTTATTCACAAGCCAGTTCTCCAAATAAACCCTGAGTGGCCGTTCGCCCAACGTTCGTTGATTTGTTTTGCTTGCCCTATCTCCGCCCCAATAATTTCTGTTCCCAATTTTCAACCCCCCATAATAATACCCTATGTGGTAGGCAAAATAATCGTTTAAAACTATTTCGATTAACTAAATCCCTGTACATATTAACAACCAACATGCCATCATCATCATCATCACTGGCTCGACAACTCTTTTTGAGCCTTGGCATGTTCTAGTATTTTTCTTCATTCTGATCTTTTTCGTGCTGTTTTTCTTCAGTTTTTTCGTTATTTTTGGGATTGTTACATTATTTTCTATTTGTGCTATGTATTTCACCTTTTCACCTTCACCGATCTTCCTCTTTTTCATTTTTCTACTGACACTTAACTACTAAAATAGTACTACCAACTATTTTGTTTTACTGCTGAACTTGTAGCAATTTTGAAGGGCATTACTTGGTTAATATCAAATAATTTACGAGAGGGGTAATATTAACTGATTCTAAGTCAGCCTTGTAGTCAATACAAAGCATACAATTTGAAAGAATGAAATATCCGATATTATGCAATTTAAAAAAAAATTATAGCAGATTTAAATATAACATTTGTCTGGATCAAAGGTCATGTAGGTATACTAGGTAATTAAAAAGCTGATATTTTGGCCAAGGAGGCAGTACAAAACGGAGTTCATTGGAATATTTGTACAATTTGATAAATCTACAAATCTAATTTGATAAAAAATAAAATATTGTTAAAATGGGAACGACAGAGGGAAAACGTTGTAGAAAACTCACAAAACAGGTATTTTAAAATACATCCAACCCTAAGATTTCCACCCCAATATATTTCCAACTATTCCACTTCAAAATTCTTTTCGGCAAGTGTTTTTCGACTTATCTTCTTCGGTTGCAACATTTAAAAAAATCCGATGATTTAATTCATAAACCCATTAAACTGAAATATGTTCTTCCATTAAATCTATCACACAAAAACTATTTTGTCTGGTACCTTCTTAAATATTTTGTTTTTTAGTTTTTGTATTATAGATTTGAACGCAAAAAGCATTATACGAGAAAAACATTGTTAGGATTTGGATGTCATTTGTTGGGTTTACATTACAGTTTTTGGTTATGTTACGTAAGGGCGCTGTTTGTTGTATCCTCTGGCTGCATTAGGCTGCGTCTGTAAGATTCTGCAGCGCAATAGTTTGCACCAACTCGTAAAGTTAGCGAGCACAGCAAACTGTACCTGTATATTTTAAGCCAAGTGTGGAATAAAACACTAATTTATTAAGACAGTAACTATGCCAATAACACTAAAACACTAGATATCATTATTGAGCTATATGTACTGGTCTTTGATTAATTAATACCTGGTTTTTCGGCGTTTTTTTTATGGAAAGATGCTAACAAAAAGGCGGGCTGGTGGGCTGGCGGGCCACTTAGGGCCTGCCTGGCTAATAGAAAATAACGGAAAAATTGTTCCCTTGTTAATAAAAAATTAAGCTGTCGCTGTTTTTTTTTAAATTGTTGTCGTAGTTCCTGAAAATGCTACTCGTTTCGTTTTCGTCCAACCACCCTGTGTAAAAAAATTCGATTGGGTTTTTTGATTGGAAGTTTCGTTTATGATTTTTAAAGACTTTGTTTCACTGACATTTATCTAATCTTTTTTAATCTAGTTTAAAAACTTCACGAGCATTACTTTCTAGCTATTCGCTATTAGCTAGCATTTGCTTGAAACTTATTTCTAGTATTACGTTTTGAATCGGCTTTTGTATGTAAACCATCTGAATTATCAGAGCCAGATTATTTAAGAAACAATCCCCTTACAGACTAGGTTATTACTGATAAGTATTTCATTCATAATTGTGAAAAAACATCAACTAACTATCCATTACCTGACCGATACATGTGTCATTCTATTCCAAGTACACAAGTGTTTTGAATCATATGACAATTATTTTTAAACGTAGTTATTAATTTTTTTAAGGTTCGTTCTGTGACTCAATAAAAGCTCAAGGATACTGTACCTGTATTCAAATATTATTATTATCATTATGTTAATGTGTTTAGAGGAAGTTGTAGAGACGCTATAACGTTGCCACAAATTAAGGAAGGGTTATGAACAATTATCGATTGAAACCAAAAGTGGTGGACGGTTTTTATTATTGATCACGACATGAATTCTTAATTAATGTAGGTATAAGTAACATTATACCATTATTGTTTTTTTGATATACCTAAATATATCTGTATATACAGGGTAGCAGGACGAAAACAAAACACTGGCATTATCAGCAACTGCGACAACATTTTTGAAAAACCCAGCGATACGTCGATTTTTGATTACCCGTTGAAAGTTATGAAGACCTCATTATAGGCTGTTGCCTGTTCAAGGTATAACTGCCTTTTTTGTTGAGCTGGGTTATGCGGGATGCAATAAAACACCTAAAAAATAATAAATCTCCAGGAAGTGATGGTATACCCACGGAACCTATTAAATGTGGAGGTGCTACTCTTACTAACCATATATATATATATATATATATATATATATATATATATATATATATATATATATATATATATATATATATATAAAATTCCGTTTGCCCGCTTTACAAAAAGGGTGATCAATTGATCTCCTTAATACAGCATACAAAATATTTTCGAGTAGTTTATATACTCGCCTGAGTGCATATTCAGAGGAGCTTCTTAGCGAATATCAAAGTGGTTTTAGGCTTGGTCGATCAACAACAGACCAGATCTTTGTGCTAAGGAAAATACTGGAAAAAAACCAATGAAGTCAATATCGACATATACCATCTTTTCGTAGATTTTAATTCGGCCTATAATAGTGTCCTAAGAAATAAATTGCATGAAGCCATGGATGAATTTCGCATCCCGATAAACTGATAAGATTGGTTAAGGCTACAATGCGTAAAGTTGTTT